TATCATGAATTTGGGACATTGTCCCAGCTCCACTCCTTTTTCACTGTGATGGTAGAAATATATAGCATACCTGTTACGATACACAAAGCTGTTCACATGGTTAACAACATTTATATGACTCTTTAAATAACCATAGCAGGTTCAATTTTGTTAACGACGGTAGGTTAAAAGGGGAGACTATTCAGAGGTCAATTATTAGAAATGAAAATGGACACTTAAGCCCCCATCACACCAAACTAAGTAGTTCTCACTACATTATGGAAGATATTGCAAAACCGGCTCCAATTGTGTGATAAGGGATAACGTGTTACCTTCATGGACGTGCTCGGACGGAAAGGATGCTCTAAAACTTATTACACGGAGTGACAACGGCCTCAAAACGAGATGGACGTACTATGAACGTTTTACAACGTGACGTAGTCTTTCGACAATTTGCATATGTTTGTAAACACGTACATGGTTGTTAATGTAATCTATGTCAGTTCAGTTGCATGACTGCGATCATGGACTGTTCTCAATAAACCTTTGAGTGAATTCGGGGCACTCATCATAGATAAATATGGGTACTCATAATAAGGGAAAGGGGGAATTCACAAGAAAGAAAAAGCTTAATTTGTCCAAGTAAAAGGGTCCCCATTCAAATTTGAATAGAATAGGCAAATATAAAAAGGGAAGGGACACGTATTGCAAATAAAAAGCACCACTCATCTGAAATAAAAAGGGACACTTTCTTTAGTAAGAGGTATTTTTTTTGCTGAACTTAAAAAAAAAATACGCATTGTGCCCCCTTCCCCGTGGGCGCCGCCTCGCCTCTTTATGCAGATTAAGAACGCCCCGAATAGTGAGAAAGAGACAAACAGACAGCAAGATGGGGGGGGGGGGGCATGAAAAGAATTCAACATACAAAACGGAAAGAATCAGCGGTTACATTAACACAATGGATTAAAGAGTGGAAGCATAACTGAGAATAATACTAATAGGTAAAAAGAAAATCATGAAAAGGTAAATGAACCAAAATGCAACAAAAATAAGATCAAGTGAATGAGCTCAAGTGATAACGAAAGTTGCACAAACCGATACAACGAAGAGCCAAACAATGAAGTGATTAAAAGAAAGAATTTTTACAACTGCATGCAAGGTATAAAGATGAAAACTCATAGTGAAAAGGCAAAGCATCAAAACAACAAACGTCAAAAACAAAGATATTATCAGATAAAATATTTGATAAAATATTGAAGCATAAATCCAGACAGAGGAAACACAAACATAATTATTACAAAATGATGTGTGTTATTTAGCAACGTTTCGATATTCTGTTGAGCATTTGGTGTCTAGGAAATGGGATAACAATCAACAACAATTGAAACAGAAACCTGGGGCAGAGACAAAAGAGTTTAATATGACAACTCGTAGTATAAAAAAAACAGTTTAGACAAATTGGCCCGAATTCACAAAGCAAGGTTTGAGCTCAAACCTCCTTTTGTTTCGCCAAACCTCCTTTTGTTCTTTACAAACCAGGTTTGTCAAAAACGCGTAAAACGCGTCATATGACGTACGAAAACCAAGGTTTGTCGACAAACCTCCTTTGTGAATTCGGGCCATTATGGAGCAGAAGGAGAAGGTTTTGCAGATTAAAAAAAACAAACGAAAAGGAAATGTTAACATATAAAAGGGGCTTAATGATTGAAATAAATGTAGAAATTGTAAAAACTAAACAATAATACAGAACAGTATTAGCATCGTAGCGGTTGTTATACAGATGAAAATTGGAAGAAAAAAAAGGGGGAAATGTACGGTGGACACAACGTGGAGCGATGCTTACATGATAAACTCCCAAAAGGATGTGGCTGGATGGTGATCTGGGAAGACCTCGCAGATGATATTCCAGTCTGCCGCCCTCTCTAAATCCACAGTTGTATAACCTATGTTCAGAAAAGAGTGATGGAGGTAATCGGTGCGTTGGGTGTTAGAGTAAATATAAATAAGTAAAGAAAAGAAAATATAAAGAGGCGGCAATCCCGGGGGACAGGGATGGACAGTACCCCCCCCCCCCATCACTTGTTGAAGTACCCCAAAAGTGCCCCTTTTTACGTAGGGAAAGTGCACCTTTTTTAATTTTTAAGAAGTGTCCCTTTTTACATAAAAACATTGACCCCTTTACTTTGACAAATGCCTCTTCCCACTTTTTACCTCCGATAAATGCCCCTTTTGTGTTGACACGTGCCCCTTTTCTTCGACAAAATCCCGTTTTTCTTTGCTGAAGCCGTCCATTTTTCATTATCTTAAGTGCCCTTTTAATCTCTAGTATGTGCCCTGTTCAGGTACGAGAAGTGCCCCTTCGCCTACGATAATTGCTTTATTCAAATCTGAGAGGTGTTCCTTTTACCTTGACATGTGCCCCCTTTCTTTTGTAAGAAATGTCCCTTCCTCTTCTAATAAATACCAATGTTATACTCAGATAAGCGCACCTTTAATTTTCACATGTGCCCCTTTTTTCTAATAAGTGCCCCTTTTCCTAATGATATCTGCTCCCATTTAAAAAAAAAACGTTCCCTTCTCATAAATGACCCCTTTTCATCTTTGGTAAATAAACCTTTTCTGGTATGAGAAGTTACTCCTTTTCACTTCAGATGAAAGAACCGGGGAAAATAGTCACTTTCCCTAGCTTGGCATTGTTAAAGCTTTGTAAAATGCACACATTCTAAGTCGAAGGGATAGAGCTGACAGTTGGAGTGGAGATATAGCTGCCACATCATGGACCTTGATGTTCTCTTGACAATGCACCCGAAAAACGATGTAGAACAAAAAATGAAGTTGTCTTTAACGGTTCATTGTAAAGCACAAAACTTTTAAATTTGCTGTATCCGGTTATTCATTATACAAATAGCGTAAAGTTTAAATTCTTAAAGGTCAATTAAAATTTTTAACATTCTGCTTTAAAAAAAACCATGCAACCCCAAATAATGATACCGATGATGATAAATAAGATAGGAAAAAGTGACAAAAATAATAATATTAATAGTAATAACTAAACACAAAAATAATATATGCTAATGATAATAATGGTTCTGATATGGTAACGATGATAGAAGTGGCTAGAATAACAACAACAATAATAATAATAATAATAATAATAATAATAATAATAATAATAATAATAATAATAATAATAATAATGCAAATTATGGACAATTATGATAATGATGACTAATTTTATAAGGATATGACTTTTTGTATGTCAAAATGGATGGTTCATAATAAAACATGCAACTGTAGATTAAAATTTTGCATCTTCAATGCAAGTATTAAAATTCTATTTTTGGCGACTGTACATTGAAAATTCTAAAATAACAACTAGAAATGTAATTCGTCATGGGGACGAATTAGGTGGTCTGTCTTCACTTCTTATGGTAGATTTGAGAATGGGAGAAATTATATAGACATATACACAATGATGATGATGATGATGATGATGATGATCATAATGATGTTGCTCGCGAAAGACGGGAATGTAGAATCCAGTTTTGAGAAGAAGTCATGTCCCATAGAGAATACACGCAAAATGTGAAAAATTGACATGCCTCCTTTAATCGCAAAAATACGCCATGATGCCTTTGTCAAAATGAAAAAACGTGGCGACTGTTCATGTAGAGAATTGTCTCAGCTAGAACATATCCAAATTCGGAGGAAAATCGATCAATATTTGCAGAGATACAATCAATGTTCTAAAAATATGCTGACGTCATAATAAGCAAATATAATTTTTTAGTTCAGAGGCCATTATGATGACGTCATGAGTTCATTGAGGGTCAAATGAGACATGAAATCATATCTACGATTCATACTCTATCCAAATATGAAAATAAAATTAGGGGTCAACTGGCATCTTAAAGAGCTACAATGGATTTTGTATAGGCATTTTTTTGCCCATACATGCTTTGTATTACAAGAGTTCACACGCAAGTACATGTATATTAAACGGACGCTCAATTCCGTTATTAAAGTTCACAAACAGGTGAACAAGGTATCAAAATGCTTGGAAAAATGTGCCAAATATGATGACCGAAAAAGTTGGCGATTCTACCGGAGTGTTGGCTCAGTCAGTAGAGCGTCCGCCTCACAACCGGGAGGTCGTGGGTTCGAACCCCGGCCGCGTCATACCAAAAGACGTTAAAAGATGGGAGTTGTTGCAACCTTATTTGGTGTTCAGCAATAAGGGATAGAGCAACGTCGAGCTGGCCCTGGTCAGTGGCTGCCGGGCTCACGATTAATTGGGCAAAAAGAATTTCCGTTTCGGTTTAATAAAATTTGGATTGGACTATTAGGCTATTATTATTATTAATATTATTATTATGACGCGCGAAAACGCGCGCGCATGCGCGTATGCGCGTTTTTTGCGAAATGCTTAAGATGACCTGATTCGTACTCTCGTTTAATAGTTAAGTGATTTTGAGCATTTTTAAATTTTGACGCGCGCGTACGCGCGTGTCATGACCCTTATTTGACCTTTGATGACATGACCTGTTGACCTTTGACCTGAAGTATCTGTGATATGAATATGAATGACCATTGATGACGCGTCATGAAGATATGATTGATAATGTGACTTAACAAAATTGCGCCTGGATGACGTCATGAAGGCTTAATGACCTTAAAAATGTTCCTGTCACGTCTCTGCCAAAATTGAAAGAAATTGACTGAATTGATCTTGAATTATCATCGGAACAAAAAAGGGGGGAGAAATAGATACAAATAAAGAATAATAAATAAAGAAAGAAAATTCTGACGAAATCAATAGGTGATCTGTCTACGACAGACCACCTAATAAGGAGCGATAATAAAACTAAACCTATATTAACTTTAGGTAAAATACTTGGAGGTGACGCCCTTGTTTTAACATTTGCATCACTTCACACGTTTCTATCATTATGCTTTACCACCGCAGACTAACTGAATAAAATCATCTAATAGGATTTTTTGTAAAAGAGTTGAACAAGAACCTACCCCACGCGCAAGATCGTCTTCACACGTCTGCAGCACTCGATAAGGTAAACTAAGCCTTCCTCATTTGTGCATTTCACCATGTGCAGATCTATCCGCTGCAGGATACTGGTTTGTTTTCGGATAAGAAGGCCCAGTCCTCTCATCGTCTTTATCGATACACTTTGCTTCTCTGATGGGAGTGATGACGGTGCTGTAATGTTGATGCACTTGAGCTGCTGTCCTCCGGTCTGACGAAGACCAGCCGTGATCTGAGGTATGTCTCTCTCTGCATCATCGATAGTGATATCGATATCTCTCAAGCCAGGGAGCGATGAGAGCAGACCTTCATAGCTTTGTGACGTCACTCTCTCGGATGATAGATGTGTGACGGATGGAAGTTCAGGGGTAGAAGGAGGGAAACTAAGAGAGGAGTCTGAAATGGTGAGCTGGTTCAGTGAGGTGAAGGATCTAAGACAGGACCAAATCCTGACAGTAATCTCTGAAGATAAGTGGCAATTATTTACGACGAGTTGACCATTATCCTGGAATTAGAGAGTAATTTAATATGTAAGTCATATAAGATACCAAAAAGGTAGTTACCGGATTAAATTTCAAGGAATGGACACGTCTTTATTGATTTTTCATTAACATTTTAGAGATGAATATCCGGGCCTATCTATACCCATGACACCAGTTGACTTGAGTACATGTTGAATAATTCGTAATTCATCTCTCTACAAATTTGTCACATAAAACGCTCTAAACGTTTTTTAATGTAAAGCCACGCTTACATGGTCCGAGTTGTCATGGCTATTTTGCCAATAAAACAATCACTTTCGCTTGCATACACGTGAATCTTCAAATGGCTGGTAGATTTGTATAGATAGGCATCCTTATTCTTATCCCGAAAACATCGTTCGTTATATATTGTTTTGTCATATAATTATAAGTAGTATTGAATTTCAGTTTAATGTTCAATCTTTTGAAATCTGTTGTAATCACAAGCATGGGCATAATTAACTTGCACTTGCAGTACCTACATCTATTCCCTGCAGTACTCCTCATTACTCCTTAATGAATCAATGTTACAATGTTAAAAGTATATCCTTGCACACGTGAAGTAAAAAATATACGTAGTAGGTTACTTACATAATAATACATAATACATGACGTTTATTAGGCGCTTAATACGGATGTTTCTAAGCGCACCTTTGTCTGACTTAAAATTACCAACTAAAGCTTATAATAAACACACACACACAAATCTGTTCTTTATTCAATAAATCATGCATACTTACTTGATAGACAATCACCATGAGTGATTTCTGTGAGATAAGAAGCTCACTGACGTGACATTCTAGTATACCGCCTATTTTTGTACCACAGCCAAGAAACCTGCAACATGTCAATAAAGTGTAAGATTGCTTAAAAAGGAAGAATGGATAGAAAGAAATTTCACCAATTTTTAGATTACATTTAAGAATTGTGTATTGCAAAATAAATGAATAAAGTAAAAGTTAAGAGCCTTTAGATACAGGCTAGATGTCGATTGCCCATTTGTAGATAAGTACATTTAAGAATTCGTATTGTTAAATAAATGCATGAAGTACAAATGAAGAGTCTTAACCCTATAAGGCCGGGGGGGGGGGGGGGGCATTGATAAACTAATGAAAAACAAAAAGACATCTGTTCAATACATTATCTTTGATACTGTTTGTGTTATAATCAGGCTACTATGGTTATTGTTGTTATCAGTAGGACTATTATTATCATTGACTGACTCAACTTTTGTATAATAAACTCACGTTAGATGATTCAGTGTTTTCACATGTCTCAAAGACTTGACGAGTTCAACCAAGTCTGCCTCCTTACTGCAATTCACACCGGATAGCAAAAGCCACTGCAGGATCTTGGTTTGCTGTTTGATCAGATGACCCAGTCCTCTCATCGTCTTTGTCGATACACTCTTCTTCTCTGATTGGAGTGAGTACGGTGCTGTAAGGTTGAGGTGTGTGAGCTGCTGTCCTCCGGTCCGACGAAGACCAGCTGTGATCTGAGGTATGTCTCTCTCTGCATCATCGATAGTGATATCGATATCTCTCAAGCCAGGGAGCGATGAGAGCAGACCTTCATAGCTTTGTGACGTCACTCTCTCGGATGATAGATGTGTGACGGATGGAAGTTCAGGGGTAGAAGGAGGGAAACTTAGAGAGGAGTCTGAAATGGTGAGCTGGTTCAGTGAGGTGAAGGATCTCAGACAGGACCAAATCCTGACAGTAATCTCTGAAGATAAGTGGCAATTATTCACAACGAGTTGACCATTCTCCTAGAAGTAGAGAGTAATTTAATAGGTGAGTCAAAATAAGTCAAAAGAAGGCAGTAAACGGATTGAATTTCAAGGAATGGACACGTCTTGATTAATTTTCATTTAACATTTAAGAGATGAAAGTCCAGGGCTATCGAAACTCATGACACCAGTTGACTTGAATTCATGGTGAATAATTCTTAATAAATCTCTTTACAAATTTGTCGCATAAAACGCTCTATACATTTCTTTAATCTAAAGTGTTCACGGTTATGTGGCCAATCAAACAATCACTTTCGCTTGCATACACGTGAATCTGCAAATGGCTGGTAGATTTGTTTAGATAGGCACCCTGATTATTATTCCGAAAACATGGTTCATTATATTTTGTATTATAAGTATTATTATTAGAGGTAGAATTGAATTTCAGTTTAATGTTCAATCTTTTAACATTTGTTGTCATCACAAGCATAAGCATGAATTACTTGTACATGCAGTACCTACATCCTTTCTCTGCAGTACTCCTCATCACTCTATAACAAATCAAACTTACAATGTAAAAAGTATATCCTTGCACACGTGTAGTAAAAATATACCTAGTAGGTTACATGATAGACTTACATGATTTATGATCAGAAGACCCAGTCCTCTCACCGTCTCTCTCGATACACTCTTCTTCTCTGATAGAAGTGATGGCGTTGCTGCAAGTCTTATAGTTGTGAGCTGCTTTCCTCGGGTCCAACAAAGACCAGCCGTGATCTCAGGTATGTCTCTCTCTGCATCATCGATAGTGATATCGATATCTGTCAAGCCAGGGAGCGATGAGAGCAGACCTTCAAAGCTTTGTGACGTCACTCTCTCGGCTGATAGCTTTGTGATGGATGGAAGCTCAGGGGTAGAAGAAGGGAAACTGAGAGAGGAGTCTGAAATGGTGAGCTGGTTCAGTGAGGTGAAGGATCTCAGACAGGACCATATCCTGACAGTAATCTCTGAAGATAAGTGACAATTATTCACGACGAGTTGACCATTCTCCTAGAAGTAGAGAGTAATTTAATGTGTAAGTCATATAAGATACAAAAAACATTAAGCGGATTGAATTTCAAGGAATGGACACGTCTTGATTAATTTTCCATTAACATTTAAAAGATGAAAATCCAGGCCTATAAAAACTCATGACACCGGTTGACTTGAATTTATGGTGAATTATTCGTAATCCATCTCTCTATAAATATGTCACATAAAACGCTCTATACGTTTCTTTGAGCTAAAGTGTTCATGGTTATGTGGCCAATCAAACAATCACTTCCGCTTGCATACACGTGAATCTGCAAATGGCTGGTAGATTTGTTTAGATAGGCACCCTGATTATTATTCCGAAAACATGGTTCATTATATTTTGTATTATAAGTATTATTATTAGAGGAAGAATTGAATTTTAGTTTAATGTTCAATCCTTTAACATTTGTTGTCATCACAAGCATAAGCATGAATTACTTGTACATGCAGTACCTACATCCTCTCCCTGCAGTACTCCTCATCACTCTATAACAAATTAAACTTACAATGTCAACAGTATATCCTTGCACACGTGAAGTAAAAATATACCTAGTAGGTTACTTACATGATAGACTTACATGATTTATGATCAGGAGACCCAGTCCTCTCACCGTCTTTCTCGATACACTCTTCTTCTCTGATAGAAGTGATGGCGTTGCTGCAAGTCTTATAGTTGTGAGCTGCTTTCCTCGGGTCCGACAAAGACCAGACGTGATCTCAGGTATGTCTCTCTCTGCATCATCGATAGTGATATCGATATCTGTCAAGCCAGGGAGCGATGAGAGCAGACCTTCAAAGCTTTGTGACGTCACTCTCTCGGCTGATAGCTTTGTGATGGATGGAAGCTCAGGGGTAGAAGAAGGGAAACTGAGAGAGGAGTCTGAAATGGTGAGCTGGTTCAGTGAGGTGAAGGATCTCAGACAGGACCAAATCCTGACAGTAATCTCAGAAGATAAGTGGCAATTATTCACAACGAGTTGACCATTCTCCTAGAAGTAGAGAGTAATTTAATAGGTGAGCCAAAATAAGTCAAAAGAAGGCAGTAAACGGATTGAATTTCAAGGAATGGACACGTCTTGATTAATTTTCATTTAACATTTAAGAGATGAAAGTCCAGGGCTACCGAAACTCATGACACCAGTTGACTTGAATTCATGGTGAATAATTCTTAATAAATCTCTTTACAAATTTGTCGCATAAAACGCTCTATACATTTCTTTAATCTAAAGTGTTCACGGTTATGCGGCCAATCAAACAATCACTTTCGCTTGCATACACGCGAATCTGCAAATGGCTGGTAGATTTGTTTAGATAGGCACCCTGATTATTATTCCGAAAACATGGTTCATTATATTTTGTATTATAAGTATTATTATTAGAGGTAGAATTGAATTTCAGTTTAATGTTCAATCTTTTAACATTTGTTGTCATCACAAGCATAAGCATGAATTACTTGTACATGCAGTACCTACATCCTTTCTCTGCAGTACTCCTCATCACTCTATAACAAATCAAACTTACAATGTAAAAAGTATATCCTTGCACACGTGTAGTAAAAATATACCTAGTAGGTTACATGATAGACTTACATGATTTATGATCAGAAGACCCAGTCCTCTCACCGTCTCTCTCGATACACTCTTCTTCTCTGATAGAAGTGATGGCGTTGCTGCAAGTCTTATAGTTGTGAGCTGCTTTCCTCGGGTCCGACAAAGACCAGCCGTGATCTCAGGTATGTCTCTCTCTGCATCATCGATAGTGATATCGATATCTGTCAAGCCAGGGAGCGATGAGAGCAGACCTTCAAAGCTTTGTGACGTCACTCTCTCGGCTGATAGCTTTGTGATGGATGGAAGCTCAGGGGTAGAAGAAGGGAAACTGAGAGAGGAGTCTGAAATGGTGAGCTGGTTCAGTGAGGTGAAGGATCTCAGACAGGACCATATCCTGACAGTAATCTCTGAAGATAAGTGACAATTATTCACGACGAGTTGACCATTCTCCTAGAAGTAGAGAGTAATTTAATGTGTAAGTCATATAAGATACAAAAAACATTAAGCGGATTGAATTTCAAGGAATGGACACGTCTTGATTAATTTTCCATTAACATTTAAAAGATGAAAATCCAGGCCTATAAAAACTCATGACACCGGTTGACTTGAATTTATGGTGAATTATTCGTAATCCATCTCTCTATAAATATGTCACATAAAACGCTCTATACGTTTCTTTGAGCTAAAGTGTTCATGGTTATGTGGCCAATCAAACAATCACTTCTGCTTGCATACACGTGAATCTGCAAATGGCTGGTAGATTTGTTTAGATAGGCACCCTGATTATTATTCCGAAAACATGGTTCATTATATTTTGTATTATAAGTATTATTATTAGAGGAAGAATTGAATTTTAGTTTAATGTTCAATCCTTTAACATTTGTTGTCATCACAAGCATAAGCATGAATTACTTGTACATGCAGTACCTACATCCTCTCCCTGCAGTACTCCTCATCACTCTATAACAAATTAAACTTACAATGTCAACAGTATATCCTTGCACACGTGAAGTAAAAATATACCTAGTAGGTTACTTACATGATAGACTTACATGATTTATGATCAGGAGACCCAGTCCTCTCACCGTCTTTCTCGATACACTCTTCTTCTCTGATAGAAGTGATGGCGTTGCTGCAAGTCTTATAGTTGTGAGCTGCTTTCCTCGGGTCCGACAAAGACCAGACGTGATCTCAGGTATGTCTCTCTCTGCATCATCGATAGTGATATCGATATCTGTCAAGCCAGGGAGCGATGAGAGCAGACCTTCAAAGCTTTGTGACGTCACTCTCTCGGCTGATAGCTTTGTGATGGATGGAAGCTCAGGGGTAGAAGAAGGGAAACTGAGAGAGGAGTCTGAAATGGTGAGCTGGTTCAGTGAGGTGAAGGATCTCAGACAGGACCATATCCTGACAGTAATCTCTGAAGATAAGTGACAATTATTCACGACGAGTTGACCATTCTCCTAGAAGTAGAGAGTAATTTAATGTGTAAGTCATATAAGATACAAAAAACATTAAGCGGATTGAATTTCAAGGAATGGACACGTCTTGATTAATTTTCCATTAACATTTAAAAGATGAAAATCCAGGCCTATAAAAACTCATGACACCGGTTGACTTGAATTTATGGTGAATTATTCGTAATCCATCTCTCTATAAATATGTCACATAAAACGCTCTATACGTTTCTTTGAGCTAAAGTGTTCATGGTTATGTGGCCAATCAAACAATCACTTCTGCTTGCATACACGTGAATCTGCAAATGGCTGGTAGATTTGTTTAGATAGGCACCCTGATTATTATTCCGAAAACATGGTTCATTATATTTTGTATTATAAGTATTATTATTAGAGGAAGAATTGAATTTTAGTTTAATGTTCAATCCTTTAACATTTGTTGTCATCACAAGCATAAGCATGAATTACTTGTACATGCAGTACCTACATCCTCTCCCTGCAGTACTCCTCATCACTCTATAACAAATTAAACTTACAATGTCAACAGTATATCCTTGCACACGTGAAGTAAAAATATACC